GCCTTGAACTCACAATGACCCTCCTGCCTCAGCCTCCCAAGTGCTGGGATTACAGTGCTAGGGTTACACGCCCAGCCCTGTATGTCTTTCTACTCAGGACTGAACCCAGGGTTTTCACACTGCGCTAATGTTCCCAGCCCTCTTATTATTTTTTTTATTTTGAGACAGTGTCTTGCTAAATCACTAACTCACCCAGGTGAGGCTCAAATTTGAGAACCTCTTGCCTCAGCCTCCCAGAGTACTGGGATCATACAGGCATGTACCACCATTCCCAGCCCTGTAAGTTTTCAGACAAGCTTTTTTGTCCAATCCACTCAGACCCATCAGAGGGGGTGTACGGGCATATGCATGCATACACACACACACACACACACACACACACACACACACACACTCACACACACAAAGAGTCAGAGAGAGGGAAGAAAAAGCCCATGTGGCCAGTATAGAGGAAGATACTGGAGGAGTAATATGGCTACAAACTAAGGAACATAACAGGCAACAGGAGCACAACCAGTTCTTCCCCCAGCGCCTGCGGAGAGAGCACAGCCCTGCTCACCCTTTGACTTCAGCCCGGGGATACTGATCTGGGGCTCCTGACCTGTCAATAAAGTTCCCTTGTCTTAAACCAGGAATAAACAGCCAATGGGAAACGAGCATACCACCCTTTTCCTGCTTGCCAGATCTCCCAGGAAGAACTTTCTTGATCCCATCAGGTGGACGATGTCCACCCCTTCAACATCCTCAATGCCTGTGTCCCTCACCCCATATTCGTATACTGAAACCCAATTGCCAAGATGGGGCCTTAAGAGGTGACGGTCAGAGGGCAGAGTCCTCAGCCTGGGATCAAGATCAGCCCTCAGTCCTGAGGGTTCTGTGTCTGCAGTTTCAACCAGCTGTGCCTCCCAGGGACCACAGATCTACACTATTCAGCAGGAGGCTGGGCATCCCATGGTGGTAGAGCAGCACTTGCCTCGCATGCCCAAGGCCTTGGATTTGATCCCCAGCACTGAAAAAAAATTATTTTGTCCAGGAAAAAATGTATATGTACTGAGCATGTACAGACTTGCTTCTTGTCATTATTTTCTGAACAATACAGCATAACGACTATTAACACTGCATTACACTGTATTAGGGATTATAAGTAATCTAATGCTGGGCGTGGTGGCATACACCTGTAATCCCAGCATTTGGGAGGCTGAGGCAGGAGGATCTCTGCGAGTTTGAGGCCAGCCTGGGCTACAAAGTGAGCTCAAGTCCAGCCTGAATTGCATAGTGAGATCCTGTCTCGAAAAGACAAAAATAAATAAATAAATAAGCAATCTAGAAATGATTTAAAGTATGTAGGAGGATGTTGTAGGTTACATGCAAATACTGGGACTGTTTATTTTTATATTTTGGTTTTTGGAGACTGAGTCTCTCTATGTGGCTCAAGCTGGCCCTTCTGCCTCCGCCTCCCAAGTGCTGGGATTACAGGCATGTGCCACCATGCCAGGTTTATGCCATGTTATATAAGGGACTGGAGCATCCATGGATTTCTTTTCATTTTCTTGATTTCTTTCTTTCTTTTCTTTTTGAAACAGTCTTACTATGTAGCCCAGGCTGGCCTTGCTCTCACAACCTTCCTGCCTCAGCTTCCCAAGTGCTGGGGTTACAATTATGAGCCACCATGCCTGGCTGCATCCGAGGGGCCTGGTATATATGGCGGGTCTTGGAATCAGTTCTCCATGGTAGTGAAGGATCACTAGTAGTGTCCTGTAAAAGACACCCCAGACAGCTGCTTAGCCCTTCCCACTAGAGCTGTCATCTAGGAGGAAGCAGGGCCTCACCAGATCACCAAACCTGCCCAAACCTTGATCTCAGACTTGTCAGACTCCAGAACTGTAATAAATTTCTGGAAAATACCCTAAGCCATCCACTTTATCCTGTCATGGCAACCTGGGTGGATTAAACAACTCCTCCAGCACTTTTGGGGTGACACAGAAATCCTGGTGCTTCTAGGAGCCAGTGCAATATCAGATGTCTAGGTCCATTTAGGGGAGCCGCTGGGGTGGGGAGCCCACCCCTGGAGCTGGCAAAGTCATTCACAGCAGTGGGGGCTCACCGATCCAGAGCAGCGGCTCCCCATCAGGGGTGACATGGCACTGTCTCAACACAATACCCCACAGTGTGGGGACAGCCCCCCACCGTGAAGAAGCAGTTCGCCCCAAATGTCAGTCCTGCCAAGCATAAGAAACCCTGGTCTCAAGCATCTGAGCGGTGGGGGCTGCAGTGAGGGGCCGCAGGTCTTGCTGTGTCCAACCTTTGCCTGGCGCAGAGAAGCGTCCCCAGCCAAGGCCTGCAGGAGTAGGGGCACAGGCACCCCAGGCCACAGCCCTGCCTTCCCACCAGGGAGCAGGACCAGTTCGGACACACCGACAGCCTCCAGAATCCCTGCGGCCAGCGCAACAGTGGCAGGGGTGGCGGAGCGCTTGCCTCTAAAGGGGTGGCCTGGGTGCGACCCGCCTTATCTCTGAGCCTCGGTTCCCCCCTCCTCTGCGGTGCTTCCTGGAGGGAGCGTCCGTGTGTGCCCCCCCCACGCTCTGAGGGTCCCCTCCCCCACTTGGAACCACCAAGCTCGGCTGTAGTTGGCTCCTCTTTAATTTTAGACTGGTGGATACAGATTGGGAAGGCGGGCAGGAGGCCAGGGGAAGGAGCTGGAGCAGGGCCAGGGGCGGTTGCGGGAAGGGGTCAGGGATGAGGCTTTGGCCCTTCCAGTCTTCCGTCACTCTGGACTCTGCCTCCTTCAGTCTCGGCCTGGAGTCCAGATCCAGCTGGAGCACTTGGTCCCATCGTCCAGCTGGGGCTCAGGGCTTAAGGCAGGATGAAACCCTGGCTCTGGGCCAAGCTCTCTCTTCAGTAGCCTGCAGCCACCCCACCCTTCCTCAGATCAGATGCGGCGTACACACAGGGGCCCTCCTGGGACACAGCCTGGACCACGTTCAGGAAAAAGAGCTGCTGGGTCTGTTTCTGGCCCCGGTCTCGGAGCCCCTTCTGCACCTCCTGGAGAGAGAAGACAAGTTCACAGCAAAGGGCAGGTTGGTTCCCGTCCAGGGGGAAGAGGCCTGGACAGGAAATGAAGAAACTGACAGAAGGCGGGATGGGGAAAGGAAGGCCCGGGGACACACGCTGGGGGGAGGAGTTCAGCAGCCTGAAGAGACCAGAAGGGCACAGGGGGGCAGAGTGGGAAGTGGGATGGGGGAGCGGGAGCATCACATGGAACAAAAGGGCCTTGAGATGCACGTGCATTTTGGTCCTGGATCCGATTCACCGAGACTTCCGAGTACAAATCTGAGGAGCTCTGGGGACCCTCAGTGGAGGAGGGAAGTTCCAAGGATTTACACTGAGAAGACTGCCGGGCGTGGTGGCGCACACCTGTAATCCCAGCACTCAGGAGGCTGAGGCAGGAGGATCATGAGAGTTCGAGGCCAGCCTGGGCTACAAAGTGAGCTCAAGGCCAGCCTGAACTGTACAGCGAGACCCTGTCTCAAAAAAGACAAAAAAAAAAAAAGACTGAGAAGACCCCGATTTTGAGTCTCTTAAAAAGAAAGTCTTCTAGAATGCCTTCCAGAGAAGCCTTTGGAGCCCCACATCCTCTGCACATCAAGAACCTCCCAACTCAAGATCCCTTTCCTCTCCCCTCCCCTCCCCTCCCCTTCTCTCCTCTCCCTTCCTCTCTTCTCCCCTCAGGGTCTCTATATAGGACTGACAATCTCGACACACAGAGAAGGCTGGAGACCTTAGGCGCCCAGGAATGTAATTGTCAAACTCCCCAAGGAGTGATGTCCCACAAGTTCAGGGCCTGATATGGTTTTGGTCAAAATGTTCCCCCTCTGGGTGTGGTGGCACATACCTGTAATCCCAGCACTTGGGAGGCTGAGGCAGGAGGAACACTGCAAGTTCAGGGCCAGCCTGGGCTGCAAAGTGAGTTCAAGGCCAGCCTGAACTGCACAGTAAGACCCGGTCTCAAAAAAAACAAAAAAAAGTCTCCTCCAAAGGGTCCTGTGCTCAGAGGTGGGGCTTCTGGAAGGTGACTGGATCATGAGAGGGTTAACATCATCAATGGATTAATAGCTAAAAGTGCTAGCAAGAGGTGGGGCCCATTTGGAGAAAATAGGGGGTGTGCATTCGAAGGGTGTATTCTTGTCTGGGTCCCTTCCTTCCTCTGGCTCTTCCTTTTTCACTTTGCTTCCTGGATGCCAGGACAGGAGCAGCCATCCTGTGCCAGCCCCTCTGCGTGTCATTTCTTTCTTGGAGTCAGCTGACCCCATGGACCGGAACCATGAGCCAAAATAAACCTTCTCCACTTTAAGCTGTACATGTCAGGCATTTTGTTCCAGCAACAAAACGCTGAATAATACAGGCCCTGTTGGTAGAGGGTTCAGCTAGAAAGACCCAAAGCTCTAAGCCCATCTGCTCTGAGTACCCACGAATTCAAGGAAATTAGGTCTTTAGACCAAAAGCACAAGTGGTCTCAGAGTGGGAGATGCTCAGGGAAGGGGCCCTAGTGACCCAGGTCCAAAACAGTGAATCTGTGGGCTTGGAAGCAGTTAAAGGACAAGGTAGACCCTTAGCCCTGAGGTACTGTCTTCTAAGATGCTAAGTACCTCATCCCAGTGCAAGGCCCTCACGTATTTTTTTTTTTAATTTTTTACCAACTATGGATTTTTTATTGGCCCTCACGTATTTATCAGTCCATTGAGGCAAAAATCCTAGTATGAGGACCTGTGCTGTTTTGGCCCCTTATTTCCACATTTTGGACTGACGGATCAAGAACTTTGCCCACCAGGTCCTCTGATAGAAGGACATCAGGGGACACCACCTGACCTGAGCCACTGGCAGGGCAAGATCCCCAGGGCCCTGAACACTTGGTTCTAAATTGCCCCAAATCCTGAGGTCTCAGGGCTGAGGCAACTGCTATCAAAGCCAAAGATAGACTTTCAGTCCTCAGAGGCTCCATTCTCAGAGTCTGGTGGCCAAAATTCATGACCCAAGGATCAGTGACCCTTCTTGCCTCAGACCCTGGGCTTTAGCTGCCAAGCTCTTTGGAGATTCAGGGTTTCCAATGCAGGGTTTAGGATTCTCCCACAGAAAGCCTTCCATCTGCGTAACTGATATTCTGACTGTCCACAGGAGCTGAGGATTATGCCTTTGTCCTTTCTCTCTCTCTCTCTTTTGGTACCGGGAATTGAACTCAGGACCTCGCACTTGCCAAGCAGGTGCCGTGCCGCTGAGCTAAATCCCTGGCCCTCTCCCAAATTCTCAGAGTTAGAGGTCTTCTGGGTGTCTGAGAAGTGATGATTGTAGCCTAAGAGACTTCAGTAAAGGGTGGAGGAGGAAGGGCATAAGAAGCTGTTCCTTGGGTCCTGGATCTTCTAGATTTAAGTTCCCTGGAATCTGGTGTCTGAGCACTTGAAGTCACTGGGCAGATGTGACGTGGGGGAGGGGGTGCCTCAGTCTCTAAGATTTGAGCCCACCAGGCTAGGTCTTTCATATCATGGTGCGAATGCCAAGGACTTCAGGCAATCTAGCTGTTCCTTGACCTATCTGGGCCTCCATCCTGATAAATCCACTGTAAGTTGAAAATACTGCATCATTAAGTTCAAAATATACCAGGGATACAGCTCAGCGGTATAAGCACCTGCCTGGTAAGCACAAGGTCCTGAGTTCAATTCCCTGTACCAAAAAAAAGAAAAATCAAAAATATATTGAACCGGCCATCACACCTCAGTGAAAGGAGTCACTGGTGAGGGAGTAATCCGCTATTTTTCACAACCATTAGGCTGTAACTACTTGTTAGATCTTTCTTGCGTATCTCTGTCTTCCTGAGAAACCACTTTGAAGATACCAACATGTAATACAGCAGCCATGGATAATTTCCTACCAATCTGTCCATAACTCTGTAATGTTTGTATTGTTCCTATGCTATTTCGTAAATGGATGTATGTTAATTACTATGTGTTTCCTACAACAACCATTGAGAATAGTCAATGAATATTCAATTGGTCACTCATGTATAGCTCTATTTGTTTTCTCTAGAAACCACTTTGAAGATACCAAACTATAGTACAACAGCCATTGATAATCTCCTACCACTTTTGTCTGTAACTCACTATTATTTGTCTATTTGTTTTCCTGAGGAAACTATCTTGAAGATAGCAGTAGGTAAAATAACAACCATTGATAATTTCCTATCACTTTGTCTGTACTTCGGTAAGACCCCCTATTGCTATGTTGTCCTTTTTTCACTCTTTAAAAAAAAAAATATATATATATATATATATATATATATTGAATACATCTAATCTACTAAACATCAGATCAGCCCAGCCCACTTTGAATGCACTCAGAACACGTGTTCATCTACAGTCGGGCTACCATCTAACACCAAGCCTGTTTTGTCATAAAGTGTTGGATAATCTCATGTAATTTGCTGAGTAGTGTAGTGAAAGTAAGATATAGGATGTCTGTAAGAGCAGCCACTGCTAATGTACATTAAAGTACAGTTTACACTGAAGTGTATGTATGGATTTCACCTGATGGGAAGGTTGAAAAATCCTTTAGTCCAACCAACTGTGAGTCCAAAACTGTCCCTCCGGAGACACCCACTTGGCTGAAGTCCTCTAGTCTGTGGTCCCCGGGATTCCAAGGGCCCTGAAAGGCATCCTTCAGACCAAGAGAGGCAGCTTCGAGAACCTTGAGCCCAGCTAGGCGAAATGAGCCTGGGCATAAAATCTGAAGTTTCAAAGAGCAGCTAAATTCCCCGCTCCCACACAGTGCTGGGGATTGAACTCAGGGCCTTGCCAACACTAGGTTTCCCCAAGAGCTACATCCCCAGCACCAGCTGCTAGTCTTTATTTATTTATTTATTTATTTATTTAGCTTTTGTCTTTCTGAGACAGGGTTTCACTATGCAGTTCAGGCTGGCCTTGAACTCATAAGCATCCTCCTGCCTCAGCCTCCTGAGTGCTGGGATTACAAGTGTGCGCCACCATACCAGGCTCCCAGATGCTAGTCTTTTAAATGGGTTCTAACAAAGAGCATCCACCAGTCCTGAGAAGCTCCGAGGAAGCCAGGATGCCCAAGAGACTTGAGCCCCTGGGCCGGCACCACAGGCTTTGAAGAAAGAATCAAAAAATGTTTACGAGAAGCCCCAATGTGCTGGAACAAAGGCACTCTGAAGACTCCCACAGGAAAAAGAAGCTCTCTTATAAATAAACTCCCACATACGAGTTGCAAACCACACAAGGAAGTAAATCACCACAAGGGAGACTCTGAGATGCCGCAGCCAGGAAAATGGGCTTTCCAAAAAAAATGGCATCAGCGGACCAAGGGGGATGAGGGCCTCAGCCTGGGAGGAGCTTTGGCAACACCTCGCCCTCTGCCTTGGAAGCCAACTCCTTGTGGCCCCCAAAGGTGAGGTGGTCCTGCTGGGCCGTGTGGTACCTGACTTCCTTACGGGGCTTCTGAGTAGCACGGACGAGGGGGCAGGCAGCTCAAATGTTGCCTCACCTGGCTGAAGCCGGCCTCGTATTCCACTGCACCCTTGCTGCTGACGTGCAGGATAGGGGCTGCAATGGCCGCTGCCAGATCAAAGCCAAGCCACAGCTTGTTCACAATGGCCTGAGTGGAGGAAGAGGATGCTGCGAGGGAGGGGCGCCGGCCGCCCCACCCCAGCCCTCCCACGCCCACCCCAGGGGCCGTCAGACAGCAGGGCTTCCCAGACACGGGCCACTTTAGCCAAGAACCCTCAGACACACCTGGGCCACAGCAGAGATGATGAGCTCTCCCCCAGCCCCGCCAATCACCAGCTTTGAGCCCTGGGCTTTGTTGACCAAGATGGAAGGTACCATGGATGATGGTGGCCGCTCACCTAGAACTGGGGGCCCAACAGGGGTCACCCACGCCCTCCAGGAACGGCACCCACCCTGTCTTCACTCACCGCGGAGCAAGCGGAGGCTCAGCGAAGCGGGTGACCCACGCAGGGGTCAGCACGCAGCTGCCACCTGCCCTCCTCTCCCTGGGAGATGCCTGTAGGACCTGGGATGCAGGCCTTGCTCTCACCGGATGGGGGCCTGCGCCTGGAGTTTGCCTCGCGGCTCCAGCACAAGTCCAGGAGCTCGTTGTTGAGGAGGATGCCTGTCCGCGGTGAGTACACCATCGCTCCAAAGCTGCACACAGGGGAGCCGGAGCCTAAGCTCAGCCTCTCAGGAGCGTCAGCCTCTCAGGATCCCCTGTGTCATGGCTGCCCACCAGGGTGCTGGAGCCCAGAGCCCCCAAGTGCCCCCCCGGGGCTCCCAGTCGGGACATCCTACTGGGTAAGGTGCATCCCTCACAGGTCCTGGCTCCGGGACCCCGGGACCATCCTTCTCAGCCAGAGATGTCCCAGGTCGATTGACAGGTAGGCAGAAGGGAAGAGCAAAAGCAAGGTGCTGCCTCCATGGGGACAGCAGGGGAGGCAGGCAATATAGACCAATCTGGGGTGGAGAGGGTTCTGGTCCAGAGCAAGGGGGAAGGGCCTGCCCCCGGCCCCACGCACGGTGTGTTGATGGTGCTGGTGGCAGACACAGCACTGCCGTCCTCTCCCAGCACAGACACGTGGGAAGTACCCATCCTGTGGCCCCAGGCCCCTGTCAGGTTGTAGTGGCTGCGCTGGTGGTCCCCGCGGTCATTGATCTGCTGGCGGATGTGCTGGGCCAGAGCTTCCCCCAGCAGTTCCTGGGAGGAGTTCTGGGGTGAGCAGGCAGGTACAGGGTCAGTGAGGAGCCGGGTGGGGTCCACAGAGCAGAGGGGTGAATTTAACCCCCTTGGAGGACTGTCTCTAATCTGGGAGCCACAAGGACCTCCCTGAGCCCAGGCTATGCCCAGATCCAGCTTCCCATAACTGCCACTCCGGGGTCTCTTCTGGTCCCCAGGGCCACGGCACCCTTCCTGCTATCCTCCCTCCTCTGTCTTCCCCCCACCAGGCCTGACCCTGTCTTCATGCCAACTCCTGGGGGAAGAAAGAGGAATCCCACCGGTCCCAGGCAACATCACCTGGAACTGTGGGTGGCTGCGAGGGTCCCACAGCCGCCATCTCTGTCCCCCAGCAAACTTGAGTGTCTCCACAAGGTGATGGTACATGCTCACTCTCCCTTCAAGCTGGGCCACTGACTCTGCTGACAAGTTGAACCCTGGGGAGAAGGTAGGACACAGGTGTGGGCCACTTTGTACAGTGAGTTGAATGTTGGCCCTCCCAATACTCATCCACGTTCTAATCCCCAGAACCTGTGAATATTACCTTACAGGTAATACTACAGTGAATATTATCCTATGTTAAAATATGCTAAATAAAAGATTTTGAGGGGAGGACATTACCCTGGATTAGGCAGGGGGGCCCTAAATGTGATCACATGTATTCTTATAAGACCAACATAGAGAGGAGAGGAGAAACCAATACAGTAGTATCCTTTTATTGGTGGGTTTTGTTTTCCACAGTTTCAGTTACCTGGGATCACCATGGTCTGAAAATATTAAATGGAAAATTCCAGAAATAAACAATTCATAAGTCTTACATGTCATTCTGAGTAGCATGATGAAATCTCATGCCATTCTGCTCCATCTCCTCAAGATGTGAAGCATCCCTTTGTCCAATGTATCCATGCTGTATACCTAACCCCCCATGAATTACTGATTAGCTATCTTCATTATTGGATCAACTGTTACCATTAGGGTACTTGTGGTCAAGTAATACCTATTTAATTTAAGAATGGCCCCCAAAGTGCAAGAGTAGTGGTGCTACAGTTGGATCTGGAATGTGCCCTCAGAGGCCCATGTATTAATAACTTGGTCCTCAGCTTGGTGCTATACAGAGGCTGTGGAACCTTTAAGAGGTGGGGCTTCAGGGAGGTTTTTAGTCCCTGGGATGAAGTGGCCTTCAGGGAGGTTTTTAGTCACTGGGATGTGCCATTGAAAAGGCACCATGGGATGCTACTCTCTTCCTCTCTTCTTCTCTGCTTCTCTTAGGAAGAGAGGTTTAATTTGGCTCTTACCTCTCTCTCTTTCCCTCTCTCTCTCTCTCTCTCTCTCTCTCTCTCTCTCTCTCTCTCTCTCTCTCTCTGTCTCCTTTGCTTTCCAGCCACTCTGAGGTGAGCAGCTTGATTTACCACGTTCTGCTACCATGCTGTGCTGCCTTGCTACAGGCCCAAAAGCTATGAGTCAACTAATCACGGACTAACACATCCAAAACAAAGCTAAATTAAACCTTTTCTTTTTGTAAGCTTATTTATCTCAGGCATTTGTTACAAGAATGGAAAGCTGACTAACACAAGTAGTGATGCTGGCAATTTGGATATGTCAAAGAGAAGCATTTTAGGTGAAAAGGTACCTAGTTATTGTTGTATCTTACCGTGCCTGATTTACAAATTAAACTTTATCATTGGCAAGTACATATGGGCAAGAACATGGTATACATAAGGTTCAGGACTACCTGCAATTTTAGGCATCCCTGGAGCCCTTGGGACATGTCCCCTGTGGCTGTAGTATGACCACAGAGGTAGAGATTGGGGTGATACAGACAAAGCCAAGGAAGACCGGCAGCCACCAGAATCGAGAAGAGAAAAGGAGCAGGGTGTCCTCGAGTCCCCAGAGGGAACGTGGCCCTGTGGACAACCTGACACGGGACTTCTGGCCTCCAGAGTGAGCGGGGATCCATTCCTGTTGTTTTAAGGCCCCAGTGTGTTACAGCAGCCACAGGACACGGACAGAGCTAGGCTCAGGCATCACAGACCTGGGTGTTCCCTGACTCTGCCCTTGCAGGCTTGACTGAATGGGCTGTGTCTCAGGCCTGAACGTGAGGCTGTGAAGGGCAGCTCGCTCCGCACGGAGCCTACTGCTCCTGTGCCCTGTGACTGGGTCTCCCACCAGGGAGAAGGATGTCAGTCCCTTCAGCAAAACCCCAGGTACAGGGCAATCTAATGCGCCGGTTCTAAAGCCCGTCATCCTGGTGCCTGTCCACAGCCCTGTCTTGGGTGTCCGTCACCTGTTTGTCCAGGCTGTGGATCAGGAAGCCAGGCGGGAAAAGGCAGTGGTGCCTGCCATAGTCAGCATGCAGTTTGGTTGTGCCCCAAGGGTCCACTGAGACTGGAGGCTCAGCCCCGGGGTGGTGGGATGGGAGGTTTTGGAACCTTTAAGAGGTGGAGTCGAATGTGAGGTCATCAGGTTATGAGGCCTGCGCCCTGGAAGATAGTTAGCAGGTCTCGTCTTGGTACTTCCCACAAAAAGTTACAAAAGGTACAGGCCCAGCCTCATCCAGATCTTTTTGCTTCCTGGTTTGAGGTGGAACTGTTTGCCCAGACACAGGTTCCCACGCCACCTGCCTTGGGGCCCTCATCAGAACTGAGTCAGGGTAGGTGCCCTTCTCTGTTCTTTTACTTTTAGTACCGGGAATCGAACTCAGGACATTGTGTTTGTAGGCAGGTGCTGTGCCACTGAGCTATCTCTCCAGACTTTTTTTTTTTGAGACAAGGTGTTGTTATATAGTCCAGGCTGGCCTCAAACTTGTGGCAATCCTCCTGCCTCAGCCTCTCAAGAGCTGGGTTACAGGAGTACATGCATCAGCACACCCAGTCCACCTTCCTTCCTTCCTTCCTTCCTTCCTTCCTTCCTTCCTTCCTTCCTTCCTTTTCTTTCCTCTCTTTCACTTTCTTTTTCCTCTTTCTCTTTCCTTTCTCTCTTCTTTCTCTTTCTTTCCTGCTTTATATTCCTTTCTTCTCTCCTTCCTTTTTTCTCTTTCTTTCTTTACTATCTTTCTTTTTCTTCCTGTTTATCTATTTATTTAGCAATGCTGAAGCTCAAACCCAAGGCCCCATGCATATTAGGGAAAAGTTCTACCACTAGCCTACACCCTCAGCCTCCCTTTTTTAGAAGCATGCTGTGTCAGGTATTTCATTCTAGTGGTGAGAAGCTGACTTATACACTGCCCAAAGCCATAGCTGGGCGGAGCAGGGGACAGAAGGTTTTACCTCTCAGCACATTGAGGATGAAGCTGAGAATGGCGCCCCCTGCAGGTGGTGGTGGTGAGTACAGAGTGTAGTTTCCTAGGGGCATCTCCAGGGCATCCACCACCTCAGGCTGGAAGGTAGCCAGGTCCTTCAGGGTCAGCTGGCTCCCTGGGGTGAGACAGGGAGGGCCCCATGTACAGATAGGAAAACTGAGGTGCAGAAACATTTGCCACGGTGGGAATCCCCGTTCCCTATCCGTGCAGACCTGGAAGGTAATGCTGGGTATGTACATGGTGGCATAGGGTGGAGGGACAGAGACCAGAAGGAAGTAGGGGAGAGGACCGGGAGCGTGGTCAGCTCAGCTGTCCGGGCCTGCTGTGGCAGGCTGCGATCCCCTCCCACAGACGCCCCAGCGGCTGACAGGGGGAGCCCTAGGGACGGAGCCTGGGGGAAGCCCACTTTCAACCCACCACCCGCAGCTTCCAGGCCTTCCCAGGGCCTGGCCCTTCTCTGGCTGGCACCAGGCACTGGAATGCCAGTGTGGCTGACCTTCTTTGGCAATGTCATCCACCAGCATCTGGCCCAGCCTCCCCGTGTAGAAGGCCTTCGCGCCCTCTGTGGCCACGGTCTCCAGGGTGGTGGCCAGCACAGACCATGGGAATGGGTCCTGAGGCCTTAGGGGTTCGGTCCCGTTGAAGAAAAGCTGCCTGGAGGTACGGAGGGCACGCTCAGGGTGGAGCCAGGGACCAGGGGGCAGCCACGCTCCAGCCAGGGGCTCAAGTGAGATCAAGGGATCCCCTGGGGCAGAGTCCTGGCCTGGGGCCCTGAACTACTGGCTGAGTAACAGGGGGACCGATTCTCTAGAAGCAGTGGGGCTAATCCCACCCACCTCACTCGGCCCCAACCCAGAGAGGGTAGCTTTCCCTGTGGGGCCGCGTCTACCCAGGGCCTGTCCTCCCTAAACACATGGGGGCCTCTGTCAGTGGTCTAACAGGGCAGGTGAGGTGGCAGCCAAAGCCCTCTTATCACCCCAGAGAGAGTGAGAAGGAAGCCTGGCCTGAGGGAAGTGCCAGAGCCCAAATCTGCACCCTTGCACCCCCGCCTAAGCTTCTCCAAGCCAGGTTCTGACGCGACATAGAAAAGTACGGCCATTCTGGTCTTAAGGCCCCTCGGGTGCCCCTGGGTCAACCCTCCAGCGCAGGAGGGACTGGGCCAGGGTGGAGATGTGGGTGGGATCAGCTGGGATGTGGCCACCTTGTGATCTCACCTCAGGGTCGAGTTGTACAGGAGAGGCCGCAGGAACCTGCTGTTGAGGAACTGGCTGAGGATGGAGGGCATGCGGAAGTCCCCCCGGAGCAGGGCGATGGTGGGCTGGAACAGCTGCGCCCAGGGCAGGCGGCCATGGCGGCGGTGGGCCTCGGCGTAGCCGCGGAGTTCCCCGGGCACCCCGATCCACTGCGCCCCTGCGTGGCACGCACCTGTCCTCAGCCCTGAGAATTCCAGGCCTGCCCAGGGCGCGCCTCTTCTCTCACGGCTGGGGGCCCCCAGCCATGGCAGCCAGAGCGAGCCTTTGGAAGCCACTCCTTCCCGCGCCACTCCTCACACACCTCTGCGGCTCCCTGCTGCCTTCTCCGCGGAGTCCGCAGCGAGGCCGCCAGGCCTGCATACGCTGAGCCCGGAGGCCTCGTCCTACCAGCGCATCTTCAAACCCTTCAGGACTTTGCCCAGCCTGGCCTTCCTCTTGGATCACCCTTTCCTACTCAGAGAGCCCTACCCCCAGGAAGATGCCCCCACCCCAGAAGATCACAGGCTCCGAACGGGCTCCCCACACCCTAGCTCTGTCCCCCGTGCAAGGTGTCACAGCTGGTCCGTGAGGCACGCTGTCCTTTCTAGGGGTGTTCTGGTCAGCCCGAGGGGCCCAGTAGGGTTAGGAGTGGACACCCTCCCCCACCACTCCTCACCTGTGCCCAGAGGTAGGGCACGTTCACACTGGTCCAGCAGGCGCTGGGCGAAGCCGGCTGGCACAGTCTCTCGGGCGTTGATGACCTCCACCTTCCCTGGAGTTGGGGTAGAGTGAGTGTCATGGCACCCTCAGATGGCCCCAGCCCGTCCTCAGCCTGTTTCCCTCCCTGTGCTAACACTCAGGACAGGATGTACCGCTGGAGCTGTGCACAGCAGAAGTGAGGGTGCAGGGCAGGGAGGCCTGAGGGCCCAGGGAGGGCTTGGGAAGCGGCTCGGGAAGGGGTTACCAGTGGTTGTAGACAAATCTGTCTTCCCCGTGGGGACAGGGGTGTCAACAGGGAGGCCCACCTGTTGTAGCGTTGTAGATGGTGAAGACGACCCCTCCACCCAGGCCCATGCTCTGAGGGTTGACAACGCCGGTGCACACCAGGGCTGCGATGGTGGCATCCACGGGTGAGCCCTGCTGCTGGAGGATGGCGCTGGGGGACACGGCACCATCAGTGGCTGGCTCCTGCCCCCCACCCTCCCCCGCTGGGCTCGCTCGGCGGACTCTTACTCGGGAACAGAGACAGACCCGCGGCCCGTCTGCTGCCACGGAGCCGCAGGTTAGGTTAGGAAACACTCCGGGTTACCCCTCAAATGGAGCGCCTCGCTGGCCCATGGCCATTTACCAGGCACCTCTCTTTGCCAAGAACTTCTGTGGTCACGGCTCCTGCAGGACTCCCAGTAGCACCAGCTCGTTTGCAGGCAGACCGGGCCTGGGCCACTCCTCGGAGACCACTCCCTAGGGGCCTTATGACCCAAAAGGCCAGTACTTTTCTATCTCAGGGCAGGGACTCCATTCAAACCCAATCAGCAATGAGGAAATAAGACCCAGAGAGGAAACAGACCTGGATTCCCTGCCACGCCCCATGGTGCCTCTGACCCCAGTGCCTTCCCTCTGCCCCACTCCCCGTGGCCTCGCCGGCTCATCCCAGACCCCAGTCCTGCCAGCCCGTGAGCCGTGTGCCCAGCTCCGGGCCTTGACGTGGCTACACATGGCTGCCACATGGAAACGCGCATTCCCGGAATGGGGAAAGGGCAGGAAGCCAGAAGCATAAAAGAAACAAGATCGCTACATTCAGGCCTCATTACACATTGTTAAAAAAGAATAAAACACCATCAGCAAAGTCATGTGACAAACTGGGGCAGGAAGGGAGGGAGGGAGGGACCCTGAATTCGCTTGAGAGACAAAGGCTTCATCTCTTTACCAAATGGAGCAAGCCGACCTGCACCTCGCCGGCTGACTCAGCAGCACCCAGCCCTCTCAAATGCCCGCTCCCCTTGGAAGCCCCTTCTGAACCTATCCCCTCTCGGGTTTTTCTCCCATCTCCCTGGCCCCCTGGTGCTGGGAGCCCTGATCGCAGCCTTTGCTCTGTGGATGAGCTCATCCAGCCTCACGGCATAAAATGCAAACTCGGAACTAGGCATGGTGGTGCAGTCCTGTAATCCCAAGACTCTGGAAGGCTGAGGCAGGAGGATCGAAAATTCAAGCCTGGCCTGAGCAGTTTAGTGACTCACTGAGACCCTGTCTCAAAATAAAAAATAAGAGCATGCTGGTGCATGTCTATAATCCCAGAGGATGAGGATTATATAATCCTCAAGAGGCTGAGGCAGAATTGCCTCATGTTTGAGGTCAATCTGGGCTACATGGCAAGACCCTATCTCCAAAAACCAAAAAGTAAACATGACTGCAAGTCCTAGAAAGATGTTGGAGTGGCAGGGAGGAGCTTCAGACACCCTTACAGGGCTGGGGGAAGGATTTTGTGAACTCCCTGTATTTGGGAATAGGTCCTTGGCGTGGGCATCATCGTCAGCCAGAATGAGGCTCAAATCATCTCCCTTACTAGGACCAAATGTACACGGATCAATGCAGACCCTCCGTGTTTCCTGGGAGGTTACAGACGGATAAAGGGGTGAGAACCTCGGAATACAAGTACGGTTACATCTGAGGACTGGGAGTGTCCCCTGGCCTCTACTTGCTGCTGATCTCCCTGGTCCTGGAGAACATTCTACGGAAGGGTATTTGCTATGGTCTCTATCCAGGTGGTTCCCCCAAAGCTTCCCTCATGCGCTCATAGCTGGGGTCTGGGGGAAGTGACTGGATCATGGGTGCGTGACGCTCATCAGGGGGTTAGTCCTTCCCACTCAGGCAGGTAGTAAACGCAAGGTGTACAAGCTGCTGGGTGCGCTGGGCGTGCTGAATTTGGAAAGACCGCAAAAGAATGAGGGCAGATTGGGATTTTACAACCTGCTCAGGGCACCAGCGTGGCTGATAAAAGCACCCGATAGACTTGTGAAATGACGGGTGCTTATGTCAGGCCTGACCTGAGAGAGACCTGGACTGCCTATTACAAACAGTAGGTTTGTAGCCCACTACTGACAGTAGGTGGCCCTAAGCAAACAAGAATTAAGGGCCAAGCCTGGCATGGTGGCCCATGCCTGTAATCGCAGCACTTGGGAGGCGGAGGCAGGAAGATTGCTGCAAGTTTGAGGCCAGTCTGGGCTACATAGCAAGACTCAGTCTCAAAAAAACAGGAAGAAAGAAAGAAAGAAGGAAAGAAAGAAAGAAAAAGAAAGAAAGAAAGAAAGAAAGAAGAAAGAAAGAAAGAAGAAAGAAAATTAAGGGCCATAAAATATTTAATTTTATTATTATTATTTTTTTTTGTCTTTTTGAGACAGGGGCTTGCAATGCAGTTCAGGCTGAACTTGAGCTCACCTTGTATCCCAGGCTGGCCTTGAACTCACAACGATCCTCCTGCCTCTGCCTCCCAAGTGCTGGGATCACAGGCATGCGTCACCACCCCTGGCTCATAAAATGTGTTAGGACCAGGCCTACAGTCTTCTGAGGCCAGGTGTATCTATACACCTGCGCTGATTGTCCTTGCAGCTTTGACTTCAAATGTTCCCTCTGGATTCTTTGAGACTGCAATCCCCATCCCTAAACTCTACATATACTTAGCCTCCCCTCCAGATAGCTGCTATTACCCTGATTTCAGCCTGCCTATATGTAGATGGAATAAATCTGAACTTTCCCACAGCCTAAGTCTAACAGTTTATAGGGAAATAATAGAGATACTTTTATCTATGCTACTAGAAAAAAAATCAGATACTTCCCTTGGCTCTGGGCATGCTGTGCTGGTCTTAGCTAAGGTTTTTTGTTGTTTTTTTTTTTTTTTTTTTTTTTTTGGTGGATTAGGGAGGTGAGACAGGGTCTCGCTATGTAGCCCAGGCTAGCCTTGAAATCGTGGTGATCCTCTTGCCTCTGCCTCCTGAGTGCTGGGACTACAGGCATGCACCACCACACCCAGGAGCTAATAGCCTTTCCAGCTTGGCTTTGATTTTTGTTTTTTTTTGGTTTTGCTTTTTCTCTTCTTCCAGTACCAGGAATTGAACTCATGACCTTGTGCTTGCCAGGCAGGTTCTTTGCCGCTAAGCTAAATCCCCAGCGCCTCAGCCTGGCTTTGAAACTGAATTCTCCTTGGCTTGGGAGGGAGGCATTGGAGAGCCCCAGGTGACACAGTCTGCTTCTCTGGCCTGGACGGTTTGCTGACTGGTGAAGGTGACACCGCGCTGAGGGATGCACTGGGATGACCCCACTCATCCACACGCCAGGGGAGGGCTGCCAACCCCATCTAGGGATGCTGGTGTTGAAGCAATTTTAAAAGTATTTCATATTCCGGACAGAGCAAGAAAGTGAATATATTGACATTGTTGGAAACTTGTGTTACTATGGAAGAAAAAAATATGAGATAAGAGATCAGGAAGGAGCTTGTCATGGTAGGTTTGAACTGGAGCTATCAGGATGGAGTCTTGGTCTTTTTTGGTGTCTTTTTTGGCTCTGTATGGAAGCTAACTGGAAGTCAGGTGTCCCATTGGTAAAGAGGACCCCTAGCTTCCAAATCTTAGTTTCTAAAATCCCTTTCTCAGGCTGGGTATGGTGGTGCATGCCTGTAATCCCAGCACCCGGGAGGCTGAGGCAGGAGGATCGTTGTGAGTTTGAGGCCAGCCTGGGCTACAAAGTGAGCGCAAGTCCAGCCTGAACTGCATGGCAAGCCCCTGTCTCAAAAAGACAAAAAAATTAAAAAATGAATAAAAAATAAAATACCTTTCTCAGCTAGGCATGGTGGTGCACACCTATAAATCCCAGCATTTGGGAGGCTGAGGCAGGAGGATTGCTGCAAGTTTGAGGCCAACTTAGGCCTACATAGTGAGCTCAAGGGCACTACATATCATGTTTTTGTCTCAAAAAAACAAAAACAAAAAAATTATAGTGCTACAGAAAATAATATCTTAGCCAGGCATGGTAGTGTACACCCGTAATCCCAACAGCTGGAAGGCTGAGGCAGGAGGATGGCTCCAAGTTCAAGGACAGCCTGGGCTACAAAGTGAGTTCAAGGCCAGCCTGAACTGCATAGTGAGACCCTGTCTCAAAAAGATAAAAGAAAGAAAAATCTTGTAAGATTTAAAATAAAACATCCCATGAACACATGCAGCAAGGAGGGGGAGGGCAGATTTGGATATAAACCATAACAAATGTCCTTCCTTAGCCAGATGTCTACTTTAGGCTGGCCTTGAACTTGTGGCAGTCCTCCTGCCTCAGCCTCCCAAGTGCTAGAATCACAGCCATGTGGCACCATGTCCTACAGATAATGCCTATAAATCTAAATGAATCATTAATGACACGACACATAAGATGATAATGAATGAAAATTTAAATAATAGATTAAAACTCATGACTTTTATATAAGTGGTGCAGAAAGGGGAAAGTGAAACGATGAAAAAATATATCATGCAAATGCTAACGGTGAAAGCTATATGATAATATTAATTTCAGGCTATGGGGGTAGCTCTGAGACACAGGGCTTTCCTAGTATACACGAGATACAAGACCTTGGGTTCAATCCCCAGCATTGCAAAATAATAATAATAATATTCATTTCAAACGATCTAATCCTTGGGAAGGAAAGCACTATTAGGGCCGATGAGAGGAGCATGGCAGGAGGAAGAGGAGGTCCCCGCTGGTTTCAGGATCAGTCCCAGGAGGAACAGGGTGAGCAAGGGTTCTGGAGAGAAACCAGACCAATAGGACGCGGGCAGGCAGAGAAGAGAGCTCATCCTAAGGAACTGGCCTGCGCAGTGGTGAGGGCTGGGAGATTAGAAACCTGCAGGGAATGGCTGCAGTCCATTCCGTCAGCCGAGAGTGCACATGGCAGTCTTGAGTTCAAAATCTGAAGAGGGCAGGCTGGAGATGCAGGCAGAACTTCCTGTGATATTATTTTTATTATTGTTTGCAGCATTGGAGATTAACCCTAAGGCCATGTACATGCTAGAGAAGCACTTTTTTTTTTCTTTTTTGAGACAGGGTTCCGTTATGCAGTTCAGGCTGGCCCTGAGCTCACTTTGTAGCCCAGGCTGGTCTCGAACTCACAATGATCCT